ATAGTGCGAAAGTCACACAAAAGTGGACACAAATAATTAAAGATCACAACAATTATAATTGGGGTGCTATTATAGAAAATGGAGGCAAAGAGGAGATGGGGCTTCAATGTGGTGGTCAGCAAGGGCTATGCCCAATAGCTGAGTTCTAAAGATATAAAGGGGCTGAAGACCCTCAGAAAACTTCTGGAGGAGAGGAGGAAGCACATGTGAGGATTCAAGGAAAAGAGGTCTTCTTGCTGAAGGAACTGAGAATAGGCCCTTGTAGTCAGGGGGCAGGCAGGAGTGGGAAATGGAAAAAAAAATTAGATTGGAGAGATCAGTTAATGTCAGTTAATGTAGGATATCCAAAGCCATGGAAAGTCTTTTGGGATTGATTCTAATTACAATAAGAAGTTTGTGAAAGTCTTTAAGATATTGAATAGCTTATTTACTTTCTAAGAAATTTCTGGTGAAAGACTAGGCTACTACATTGGAGATGGAGAGAGATGAATGAATTCTAAAGACATTTCAAAAGTAGATCCAAAACATTTTGGAGGTAGCTTAGGCAATTAGCAGACAGTGGTGGCATTAACCAAGATAAATAAAATAGGAGAGGAAAAGGCTTAGAGTTTAGGGCAATAAAGAAGCAGGGAGAGGATCTCAGTACTAAAAATCAGGTGTTCTACTTGGGGCATGTCAAGTTTAAGATGGTGTGAAATGTGCAAGGGGAAATGTCAAGTAGATAGTTGGATATGTGAGTCTAGAACTCAGAGAAGAGGTCCAGATGAAAAATATAAATTTAGGAGTTGTCAGGATATAGATATTATTTAAAGCAATGACAATGGCTAAGATCATCTAGGGAGAGAATGTAGTAAGATAAGAATTGTCCTGGGACCAGTCCCTGAGAATACCATCAGTTATTGTGAGTGGCGGAGGAGGAACCAGCAGAGGACACTGACTAGGTGTGTGCCAAGTTGGAGGAAGGAAACCAGGAGACCTCTGTGTCCCAGAGGTGGTAGGAGGGAAGTTTCAAGAGTACTGTTAACACTGAGCTTTGTGAAAGAGTCAAAAGGAGAGTAAATAGGAGGGGAGGAACAGTGGCAGAGAGAGGCAGAATGAAGGTTTAGAATACAGTAGGGGAAAGAGAGAGATGTACACAAATTAAGGAGGTGAAGAGAGGGAGCCAGAGAAAGAGAGAGGGAGAGAGAGAGAGAGATCTTGGGCCCTGGTGTTAGTGTTTTTGAAAGCTCTTTCGTGATTTTAATGTACAGTCCAGGAAGAGATTCACTGCCCACAATGAACTGTGGGGACCATTAAGATATGGCTAACATCTTAAGTAGGGGAACAGTTTCTCAGACCTGTTTTTAATTGACAGGAGGAGAGAGAGCAAGCTGACTTGCATGGGTTTCATGGAACAATAAGAGTGGTCAGAAATGTTGCACAAAGAAGGCTGAGGAATATGATGAGCAGAACTGGAAGCCATGAGAGGTGGAAGGAATGTCTGGACCAGAAGGGCCACAGCAAGCTGTGGGGACTGAAACCAGTGGTGGCCTAATCCCAACTGCTGTTCCCTTTCTTTTCTACATCCACGGCCAGGCCTGCACCACACTAGGAAACGTTCGGAGTGGCTTGTAGCACTGTTCCTAGGGCAGTGCGGGAGGTCCTGCCTAGACAGTAAGAGGACTCCCTTCCCGCCTTCTCAGTCTTCATGCTTCAGGTCCAGGCAGCTAAAGAAATAACTCTGCAATGACGTTACCACAAGGAAAGGGAAAACCTGGGGGTAAGTAGGAGAAGAAGGAAAGATTGAGAAGTTTTCTCTGCTGACTGTGAGGGAGGCCACCTGGGCAGAATGTGGAAGAGAGATGCTCCCTGAAGGGTCTCTGATAAAATGTAACTCACACTAGAACTAAAGGATCTCCCAGTCCAGGCTCTGGCCTCGGAGCGTGTAATTTATTGGCTTGCATGGGTTTCATGGAGCAATTCAGTGTTTGAGATAAGGGCTGTGAAACTCCCAGTCTCCACATTCAGAGTTTATACTGGGGTCTCCATGAATATTACAGCTTCAGGTAAATCTTCCCACACTCCCGGGGCCTCTGGGGACTGTCTGTAGATGGACGGGGAGTCTGTGATTTACAAGTAACTCTTTTATCACCAAAGATCAGCTGGGAGTCCATCTGATCCTCACACATGTTTTTAAACTTATTGAAAATTTTGGTATTTAAAAATAAGGATTTGGGGCTTAAAAGAACATAGATGATCTGGACACCCTAGGCCTTTCTCCTCTGCAAGACACAGATCTGGAACTGGCTCCTTCTTTTCTTTCTCCCACTGTCTCCCTACCCTCACCTGCAAACCTTTATTGAGCACCTTGCTTTTGCCACAAGTTCAAAGCTAAGGTATAGTGTAAGCACATGGTCTGTGTGCTCCCACATATATTTTGTGCTCACGTTTTCTTTGCATTAGACTTGGCCAAAGGCCACGATAAAATCTGGACTTGGATTAAATTCTGCATCCTTTGAGTCATGTTTTTCAAATACTATTAGTTTGGTTGCCCATTAATACTGTACAATAATTTTTCTTCCAAATGGGCTGTCCTGAATTTTATTCAGTAGCTATTGTGAGATAGCTATGCCAGTTAATAAACTGCTGTGTCTTGGCTTCAAGCCAACACCTTTTTATCTGCTTTGTGATGCTGGGTCAAGACTCTAGTTCTGCCTGTCAGCTGCTTCCCGCACGGAGAGCAAGGCAGGGTGGGGAGGACAGGGAAGCAGAAGGGTCTGCTTCTGCTGCAGCTGGGAGTTCCCCAGATGGTTCCACACTCCCACAGCTGCCTCTTGGTGTCCTGTGACAGTGCCAACTCTGCAAGGTTCAGTGCCTTCTTCCCAATGGTCTGAGACCAGCACCCTGGGCCTTTCCTTAAGTCTCTTGGTTCTGATAACTCCAGACTCTCCCCTTAGTTCTCAGAGCCCTAGGGATGATAGCAGCTTTCTGAAACTATGGTTTCTGAATTACTTCGGGTCTCCTTTATGTTTTTCCAGTTCTTCCAACACCTATTTAATGAATTCCCTATTACTCTCGTTCTCAAGCTTGAGCTTGCTTCAGAATCCCCTGAAAGAAGGCTTGTTAAAGCTCAGCATGTCAATCTCCACCCCCAGAGTTTTTGATTCAGTAGGTCTGGGGTGGGGCCTAGAATCTGCTTTTCTATTAACTTCTCAGTGATGCAGATGCTGCTGAACATTCACTCCCTCTGTTAAAATAGCATGTATTCTGTTTTCCAGCTGACCCAACTGATTCGGTGGCTTCACTTCATACCACCTGTTAGGTTTGGAATGCTGGGTGGGGGAAGTAGTGACAACATCCACTAGGCCTTCCCATGAGATCCAATAGTTATATAGGCCTGTCCATCCACACTCTGTACTGTGCTCTTGCTCCTCTGCCCTGATTACAAATCTCTTGGCTTTCTTTTATCATCTTCCATTTCATCTCTCCCTGGCTCATATCCCACCTTCTCTATGGGCCTGCTCCACTAATTCCAAACCACTTGAATTCTGATTTCTCTATGCTGTACTGCACTAAGTGACTAAGTTAACATCTTCTTTGGGGCTTGTTTTTCAACACATTGAACTGTTTACTGTGTGCAGAGCCTCACACAGGATGCTCTTGCTAGAGATAAAAGATGAGACTTAGACTCAGCCCTCACAAGGGAATCAACAATGCACAATTTAAAAATGGTATTATTTGCTTATGAAAGATCTGGAAAAAATATCAGTAGAACCCTCACTAGAGAAGAGAGAACTACTTTGGTAACGTGTATTATTTGATTATCAAGATAGGATGGGATAAGACCAGAAAAAGTGAACTCAAGCAATAATGGCTAGAGGTTTGAATGCCTGCTGATAAGCAGGTTTTGTTTCACAGAGAGGGAACTATGGCAAGTGTGTAGCTAGAGTGAAATTATGTGGAGGAAAGGGAGTGATGTCAAGAGAAAGAAGAAGCGTGGGGCCTGATGACAGTCACAGGACAAATCAGAGGAGAATGAAATGGAAGAGAATGAGGATTTTCAATACACTACTTGCTGGTGTGTTGTAATCTTGCACATCTCTCCATGAAATCATTAGTAAAGCTACTTGCTTCCTGGGACTATGACAAAGTGTTGAGTCTTTTTGCAACTTTGGAGTGGTATGAAATCAAAGACATCCTACAGGAAAATGGATACATAGGAGTTATATATTTTATTTTCTTGTTTTTTTCCTCTTCCTTGTAAATATATGCTAAGCACCCTGTGGCCCTGAGTGGATTTCGTATTCTTTTCCATCAGTCCTGGTTACGAGTGGCACATGTTTATTGATGAATTAATTTCCAGGTTTAGAATTTATCCTTGCCCAGACACACCTACCATTAGGCCACAGAAAGTGCCAACAGGCCTGAATATAACTCATGTGGGTGAACCACTCATCATTTGCTTTTTTGATAATTTTTATTTATTTTTCTGATTATATGTAAATAAATGCACATTATTGAACATTTTTAAATAATAAAAAGTGTGAGAGAAAATGAAAATCACCTATATTTCATTGTTCAAAGGTAACTACTACCAACAGAATGGTCTCTCTATATATCTTTATCTATATTTGTATTTATGTAATGGAGGCTATATTTAAAGAGTATATATTTATATGTATTTAAATATATTCTTCTATATATAAAAAATTAGTTCCATATTTATAAAATTTTATATACTGTTTTTCATACTTAACTTTTTGTTATAAGCATTTATATGTTTGATTATGTCTTATTCAAAAATATAATTTAATGTCAGCATCATAATTACTCACTAGACTACCATAATATATTTATTGAAATTCCAATGTTGGATAATTATATTTTTCTCCACTTTTTGCTATCATATGTAATGCTACTATGAACATTTATGTATATATACAGTAACACTGTATTTGAGTAGACCTATTTTTTGAGATTGAAAAGCACATTTGTCTTTAGGATTAGAATTTTGTTCTTACCTGAAATGAAGGTCAGAAGGTACAAACCTAGAGGGCCATGCATAGTTTCAAAGGGCTTGCCAAAAGCGTTGTACATGAAGAAGGCTGTCCCCACCATGGTTAAGACGATCAGGATCATGGAGAAGAGAATGACATTGACGTGGATGCTCACTGGGATTGCTTTGAGCAAATCTGGGAAAACTGAAGGTAAAACCAAGATTAGAAGGAATTTAATTAATAGTTTTCTGCAAGTTTAATTTCAAAAATTAAATCCCTATATTTTTAACTTCAAAAATTACTAAAATATTTCAGATGAATACATTTTCACTGATTTACAATGGATTTATAAAAATATTTAAACATGGGATTATTTCATAGAACTCATCAGTGAAAACTAGCAAAGGAGAGGTTTGAGGGAATTTATTTTCTGCTTTGGTCATATATAATTACTTCAGTAAACAAGTGATGGCTTTTTTCTGTTGTTGATTAAGGTATTACCTATGTGTCCTTATCCTCCCATTGATCCCCTCCCGGGCTCATATTCTCACCTCTCTGGTGTCTGTGTCCATTGGTTATGCTTACATGCAACAAGTGCTGGCTTTATAACCAAAAACTGTACATAAGTTTGATACACAAAGTTTTAAAATTAATTTTTAGAGAGATGAAGGAAGAGAGAGAGAGATCAATCAGCTGTCGCCCACACATACCCTCAACTGAGGATCAAACTCACAAAGTTTTGATGCACAGTATGAGGCTCCAACCTACTGAGCCACATTGGCCAGGGTGATGACTAGAACTTTTAATGACATTTCTCAGTCATCATCTATATTTTTTAAATCTATCTTAATTTATAATAACATTTTCAATTTGGGAATCTCTGGGAGAGTTCAAATAGCAGGAGGGTTTTATATTTCCTTTACCAGTTTTAAAGAATAGAATATTTGCAATCAACTTCAATATTTTGATGTAGCACAAGCTGTGGGAAAATAATTTCTGGTGGTACAAGAAATATTTTCCATTTGAAAAACAGGCCAAGTCTATTTCTAGATTTTATGTTCAGGGTAAATTTTTCTTGTTTTCAAAAGAAACGAAATGCTTTATAAATGTACTAGAAATATTTCTCTTATCTGGTGAGACATCAGAATGCTTTAACATCAGCAAACCTGACAAAACCAATTTGGGGAAGTCTATTTCAGTCCATGTTAGTTTCCTGAACATTTATCAAGTGTTTAATTTATTTACTGAACTATTACTATGTGCCAGGCATTCTTCTGGGTGCTGAAAATATAACTATATCAAACAAGACAGACACAGTGCCTATTGTGGAACTTATGACATAACTATAACTATATCAAACAAGACAGACACAGTGCCTATTGTGGAACTTATGACATAACTAGAATCCCGATGCATGAAATTCATGCAAGAGTAGGCCTTCCTCTTCCCAGCTGCTGGCAATGGTTTCCCTCTGGCATCCAGGTCCCAGACTTCCTTCACAGTCCCAGCTCATCTGGAAGGACCTTTGGTCTAATTAGCTTATTATGATTTTATTATTATAGATGGGAGTAAATAGACAATTAACAAGTAAACAAATATGATACCTTATTGCCAAAGATGGCCACCATCAATTCCCTTCCTTCTTTTAAATACACGTAACTTCCCCTTCAAGGGGTAGAATTTATTCCTCAATTCCCTTGAACCTGGGCTGGCTTGTGACTGGACATGACAACAGGGCACCTTTGCCAGTTGCCCACCTAGTCTATGAGAGGACCAGCAGTTCCCACTGCTTGCCTTTTGGAGGCTTGCACTGCCTGCCATGCAGGAGGTCCAGGCTACTTTGCTGGAGAGAGAGGCCCCTGGAGGAACACCAGGCTTAGGAGGAAAGAGTGTTGGACATCCACCACAGCAAAATCTCCAGATGACGTCAACCCTAGCTGCTATGTAACTGCAACAGTAGGAGAGACTCAATTAAGAACTGTCCAACTGAACTAATAAACTCGTTTTAAGCCCCTGATCTTAAATGATAGAATGATATACATTTTTTTCCAAATAGTGCTAGGGCTTTATTTTGCAGTGATAACAATAAGACTTTTTCCATTGGTGATAATATTATGGGGAAAAATAACAGGGTAATGGGATTGGCAGTAATTGAGTGAGTGATGAGAGTGGTCAGGAAAGTAACACCTGAGCTGACATCTGAGTGTTGAAAGGAAGTAGCTATGCAGAGATCTGGGAAAGTACATTCCAGAGAAAAGGAGCACAGGGGTGACACTATAAGAAATTGCCTCCCTGGCCGATTAGTTTGGCTAAGTAAGTAGAGTGTCAGCCTGCAGACCAAAGGTCCCAGGTTTGATTCCTGTCAAGGGCACATACCTAAGTTGCAGCTCCTCCCCTGGCAACCAATCAATGCGTTTCTTTCACATCAATGTCTCTCTGTCTTTTCCTCTCTCTTCCACTCTCTCTAAAAATCAATGGACTGTTGACCCAGAAAGGAACTCACTACAGACTGATTCATTTGCCTCTCAGCATAACCATTATGGCTTGTCTCAGTTTCGGTCCTTATAAGGGAATTCCTTGTATCACATGATCTAACACATCTAGGGGAAATAATGAACAACGTAAATTGATTAACAGAAACAGACCTGGAGACAGAGAAGCAGCGATCAGACTGTTGAGCCTCAGAGGGAAGGTAAGGGAGGGGAGGAGGAAAGGGGAGATATCAACCAAAGGACTTGTGTGCATTCATATAAACCTAACCAGAGGTCATGGACAACAGGGGATGGGCATACATTGGGAGGGGTTTGGGATGGGAATGGGAGGATGAAGACAATTATGTGACACCATAATCAATAAAGAAATTAAAAACAAACAAACAAAAACCAATGGGAAAATATCCTTTTTAAGAAACACACACACACACACACACACACACACACACACATACAAAAGCCTATCCAGTAAAGCCATCCTTTGAAAAAAAATAATAATAACTGCCTAGTGTTTTCTAAAGTGGCTGAGCCACTTCACCTTCCCACCAACAATAAAAGAGTCCCCAGTTGTTCCTCATTCTTACTGGCACTTTTTCAAAAATAGTAGCCATTTAATAGATGAGTAGTCTGTCACATTGTATTTTATTTGCATTTGGCTAATATTGTTGAGCATCTTTTTTGTGAGTGTCTTTGCCTTCTATATACCTTTCTTTGGTGAAGTGTCTGTTCATATCTTTTGTGTATTTTTATTGGAATGTATTACTATTATTATTGAGTTTTGAGCATTCTTTATGCATTCTTGGCCCTCTATCAGATAAGGAACTCACAATATTTTATCCAAGTCTTGGCTGGTCTGTTCATTCTTTTATCAGTGTCTTTTGAAGAACAGTTCTTATTTTTATGAATTCATATTTATCAATTTTTTATTTTATGTGTCATGTTTTTCATGTCAAATATCAGTAGTCTTTGCCTAATGCAAGGCCACAAATATTTTCTCCTCTGTATTTTTCTATAGGTTTTTTTAGTTTTAAATTTACATTTAAGTCTATGATCCATTTGAGTACGTTTTTAAAATTGTTTTAGTACTTAGCTGAATATAGACTTAATGTAAGACCCACAATGGCATTTCTAGGTATTCCCTAAAGGAATTAAGAACACATGCCTACACAAAACTCTGAAAGCAGATGTGTAAAGTGGCTTTATTTGTACTCACCAAAAACTGGAAACAATCTGAGTTGTGACCCATCCATATGGTAAAAAAGGACCAGACTGTTGGTGACACAACAACATGGAGGGCTCGGAACTGCGTTTTGTGGGGTGAAAGAAACTCAAAAGACTGCATATTGTATGATGCTATAATGTGACATTCTGGAAGAAGAAGATGGTGAGGACAGAGGTGAGGAAAAGAAATGACCACGAGGCCAAGAGCCAAACACCCAAGGTTCTGTCTCCTGCGGGACCTTCAGGGGGCTGATGGGTCTATTTCCCGCCCTGTAAAGTGAGAGGGTCCCAAAGGACGAATTGGGAAAGTACCAAGTATTTGAAATATGAGGAGATTCATATTATGTTTCTCTTCTAACTCCATGAATTCCCTAAATCTTGATTTGAAACCTTATCTGAAAAAAAGACTAATTCCAGATTTGTGAGGACTCGGTGACATTAATGTAAGAAGTTCCTAGCACATAGTAAGTGTCCAGTCGAGGTTCAGTATGGCCCATTCCACTACTGTTGATGATCTCACCTCCTCCAAGACATTGCTGAGGAATGCCCTCCTCTCCTCAGCATCGTCAGTTTCTCCCACTCTACTGGATCCATCCCATCAGCACGTTATTTTCTCATCTTAATCATATATCTCACTGAAGTCCTCCTCCAGCTTTTGAACCCACCACACTGATCTGTGACATTTCCCAGGCAATAGTGAGCTTCCAGCTGCCCAGCCCAAAGGTCCATTCTTCATCCTTATCGTGCCTGATCTATGTTTGACACAGCAGCTCATGCTTTCCCCCTGGAAATGCTTTCTTCTCCTGGTTCCAGACACTACACTCCCCCGGTTTTGCTGCCACCTCATCAGCTGCTGTCTCTATCTACTTGTTGGTTCGTCCTCATCTGAGTCATTTAGGGGCTGACTCAGTTGTCATATGCTTTCTCTTCTGCCTCTTCACTCGCTCACTTGGTGCTTTATCCGGTATGATAGCTTTTCCTAGAAGCACTCTCAAATGGATTATTTCCAGCCCAGACTTTCCCCCTCAATCCCACATCTGCCTGTTGTCCAATTCCTTATGGAACATCTTGACTGGCATATTGAATAGGCATCTCAGTGTGTCCCAAACTGAACCCATATTCTTCCTTTGGCTTTCTCTACCTCAGTTGCTAACAGTTCCATTCTTCCTGGCATCATCCTTGATTCTTCTCTCACTCTCACATTTCATGTGCAACCCATCTGGGAAAACTGTTGGCGCTGCATTCAGAGTTTGGTTACTTCTCACCATCTCGCTGTTCCACCCTTGTCTGAGCCACCCTCATGTCTCACTTGGGTGACTGCTCGAGGTCCTAACTGATCTCCCTGATTCTACCCCTCGCACCTACAACTGGCTGTTAACCCAGCAGTGAGAGGGATTTTTAAAAAACGTATTAGTTTTGTGGAGGCATGTACTTGATTTGCAGGTTTGATCCCTGGCCCTATCAAGGCACATGCGGGAGGCAACCGGACAA